CACACACACACACACACACACACACACACACACACACACACACACACGTGCAGAGACCAGAACTAGAATTGCCCTCAGTAGATTCTGTTGATCTGTTACTCATAAACAGGGAAGCCAATGGCAAAAGCTCAAGAACATCTACTTGCTCCCTTGCCTTCCCTTCTTCCCACCCCAAGGCAGGGACTGTAATCAGGACCAGGACCTCAAGGCCCCTTTGAATTGATCCCTTTGGAACTGACACTTTCTAAGAGGCCTGAGGACCGCCTGGGTGGCTCAGTTGGTTAAGCATCTGACTCTTGATTTCAGCTCAGGGTCTTGAGATTGAACCCCTTTTGAGCCCCGTGTTGGGGCTCCGTGCTCAGCAGGGAGTCCACTTGAGGATTTCTCTCCCTCTCCCTCTGCCCCTCCCCCTGCTCACGTGCTCTCTCTCAAATTAAACAAATAAATCTAAGAAGGCTGTGCCAAGGGCCAGTATAAAGCAAGGCTAAAAACACCAGGTACCATGTCCAGCATGGAGTAGATACTAAGTTAATGCACATCCCTTCCCCCTTTGCCTCTGGGGGCCAGGGCTGGTCTGCCATTGCTTTGGCTTTAGAAGCAAGGACTGAGCCTGAGTCAGGTCCATACCCCCAGGGAAAGGGAAATGCTTGAGGAGGACTAGCTACCAGCTGAGGCTGGGGCAGGCAGGAACAGACAGGTTGGGGTCAGTGATGTGCCCCAGAGCCATGTCCTCTGGCGTGACAGGAACTGTGCTTGGTGGGAGGAGTGCAACAGGACACAGAGAACACGAAGCAGGGTGCCTGTGGTGCAAGGAGAAGTGCCCCGTTGTCCACTGTTGTTACTCCATCAGTTCTGCTCAGAGAGGCCCTGACCTTCGCTTTTGTCATAAATGACTGTAAAGAACTGTTGTACAGTGATACAGCCTTGTTGTTTGCTGAGTCGGTGGGAGCTGGCTGACTGGGGGAGTCCTTGTCGCCCTTAAACTGCGTGGCCCCAGATAGCTATACTTCTCTCATTCTGTCTCTTCTCCCTGCTGTTGTTCCTTTTCTCTTTCCTCGGTGCATCTGTCTCCAGTATGGATGCTTTCTTTCGTCTGTGTCGCTTCTAGAAAGAGCTAAAGATTCCAAGGACTCTTCCCACATTGGTTAAAGGTGGAGCCTTATTTTCTATCCCTCTCTGTCAGGCAAAAGGATGGCTTTAAGTTGCAGAGACTATACCTGTTGCAATTCATCTCGTTCATTTTGATACAACAAATATATGTTACATGTCTGCTGTGGTAATAACAGTTCGGAACATTTGCGCAGCTTGGCTAACTAAGGATTTTTAACCCACATGACCATATTAGTCTTCACAATGGCCATATAAAATACCTTCCTCTGAACTCCTACAGTGACCTGGGCTTCCCCTTATAACACTTAACTCACTGAATTGTCATTCTGGTTTCTTGAGTGTCATTTTTTATTAACAAGAAGCATGTTGGGGCACCTGGGTGGCTCAATCGTTAAGCGTCTGCCTTTGACTAAGCTCATGATCCCAGGGTCCTGGAATCGAGCCCTGCATTGAGCTCGCTGCTCAGCGGGGAGCCTGCTTCTCCCTCTCCCACTCCCCCTGCTTGTGTTCCCTCTCTCACTGTGTCTGTCTCTGTCAAATAAATAAATTAAAAATCTTAAAAAAAAAAAAAAAAAGACAAGGAACCTTGTTTTTAAAAAAAAAAAAAAAAAACATGTCAAAAGCTCAGTGAGGCACCAATGCCCCAACACAGAGCCTGGCCCAGTTGGGCCTCCAAGAAAGTACGTTGGATGGATGCATGTTTAATTGGGCTGACTTTCGGGGTGCCAGAGATGAATCAGGGGCACTGATGGATGATAAACAGAGCTTCCGTTTTGACTGGAGTCACTCTCAGCCAGTGGAATGGTTGCAGCCCAGGACAGGGGGAACCGGGAGGAGTGAGCAGCTGAGGGTTCTGGAGAGACCTCCTGGAAGAGGTGTCCAGGCTTAGCACTTCCTGACTGTGCAGTCATGGTTCTTTCCCAGGGCCGACTGACGGATGGAAAAGGGAAGACCATCGACTGCAAGGATGCCATCTTCATCATGACCTCCAATGTGGCCAGTGACGAGATCGCACAGCACGCACTGCAGCTGAGGCAAGAGGCTTTGGAGATGAACCGTAACCGTATCGCCGAAAACCTTGGTATGGCACACGGCCTGAGCTATCTGGGCACCTGGGCAAGTGCCCAGACCACCAGCACAGCTCCTGGGGGCAAGGATGACATCAGGCAGGAGGCCACATCTGTCACCTTTCTATTTGGAAATGAACCTTCCAACCCCTCTTCCAAGTCAGAACTCAAGTCTGGGTCCTGAGTCTTGTCCCCCTCTTTCCCTCCTTCACACAACTGCTACACTTAAGGAACCTCAGGCTTTGTGTTTGTAGCACATAGAACTGGACGGGCCTCAGGAAGTGCCCAGTCCGGTCCTCTCACTCAAGTGGAGACCAGGCTGAGACCTAAAGAGCCTGAGACCATGACCAGGATCACACAGACCATTGGGGGCAGGGCCAGAGCTCTTCTCATGAATGGGGGCAAGAGGCAGGCACAGTTCCCAGAGCTCCCTAGGTATGGAGAGTAGGCAGTTTATGCTTCTTTTTCCACAGGGGATGTCCAGATTAATGACAAGATAACCATCTCAAAGAACTTCAAGGAGAATGTGATACGCCCCATCCTGAAAGTAAGAGGTCTTTGTCCTTCCTACTGGAGTCTCCGGTGGGAAGATCCCCTTAGCCATCCTTAGTCTTCCCCGCTGGGGTCCAGTAATTCCCTTTACCCCTTCTGAGTCACAGAGCTCACCCACCCCTAACCCGGCCCTGCAGGCTCACTTCCGGAGGGATGAGTTTCTGGGAAGAATCAACGAGATTGTCTACTTCCTCCCCTTCTGCCACTCAGAGCTCATCCAACTTGTCAACAAGGAACTGAACTTCTGGGCCAAGAGAGTAAGAGCAGGAACTGCCCATGGGTGGGGTTGGGTCATCTGCCCACTGGAAATAGGGAACACTGGGTTGGAAGCACCACCCCCCCTAGAGGCATGGAGCACAGTGGTGTGGGACACTGGCCCTGGGGGCACACAATCACTCACAGTCCCGGGCCTCAGGCCAGAGTGGTGATAGATGGAAAGCACTGGGCCACATGTGGGCATGCTCCTATCTGACCTATCTCAGGCCAAGCAAAGGCACAACATCACACTGCTCTGGGACCGCGAGGTGGCAGACGTGTTGGTCGACGGCTACAATGTGCACTATGGTGCCCGCTCCATCAAGCATGAGGTGAGCACTGGAGCCTGAGAGAAGTAAGGCATCTCCACACCTCCCTCCCCCCGTGCCCCTGCCCCACCCTGGGCTCCCAGCCTGGAATAGTCCATACCCAGAGCAGATGCCCCTTCAGAACCCAGACCAGAAGATGATCAAGTAAAACCCCGGTCCTGGAGGATAAGCAAGTATGAACCCCTGCCAGGAGTGAGGAACTAAGTTGGGCACCTCAGGAACTGACATCATTGAGTCTTTAGCATAGTCCTGCAAGCTGTGTGTGGTTAGCCCCACTTTGCGGAGGGGGAAGATGAAGCCCAGAGCTTTCTGACTTGCCCTGGCGGTAAGTGATAGAGCCTGGGCTCCAGGCCACGGCCCCAGCAGTGATGAGCTCTTCACCTGTCACCTACAGGTCGAGCGCCGTGTGGTGAACCAGCTGGCAGCCGCCTATGAACAAGACCTGCTGCCGGGGGGCTGTACTCTGCGCATCACTGTGGAGGACTCAGACAAACAGCTGCTCAAGAGCCCCGAACTGCCCTCACCCCCGGCTGAGAAACGTCCACCCAAGCTGCGGCTGGAGATCATCGACAAGGACAGCAAGACCCGCAAACTGGACATCCGGGCCCCACTACACCCTGAGAAGGTGTGCCACAATCTCTAGCTTCTACCCACCTGCCTCTACATGCCCTCAACATCTAATAAAGGCCCCTCGGCTGTGGCATGGCAACTGACCTATCTTCCCCTCATGCCCTTTCCCTCCTCTCCACCCAGCCTGAGGCCTGTTTACCTCCTCATAGCCCCTGGAAGACCCCTCCTCAGCCTCAAAGTCAAAAATAGGGATTTTGCCCTCCCCTGGACCTTTTATTATGGGCCCAAAACTTGCTAACAGGTCTCCAAGGGAGGAGCTGCCTCCCCATCCCCTTCAAGGCAGGGAAGAGAAGGAGGTCCCTTATCTCTATCTTTCAGCATGATCCCCATGGTCTGTAGTCTCTGGAACTTTATCATGGTCCCAGGAAGCTCAGAAGTTTGCCCGCTAAGAACAGATCTGCCTGGGAAAAGACGGGGACCAGGCTGTGCCCTGCCACCCTTTGCTGGCCCTCGTACAACTGAGTCCCCAGAATGTCTGCACAGATTGTGGAGAAAGGGTGCAGAGGCCCAGGCACAGAGGTTGTGCAGTGTAGACTGTAGCTCCCTCTTTCCCATAGCCTAGAATTCCAAGGAGAGGGGACCCATAGAACTTCTCCCCTGTCCACTGCCATATGGTGGCTGTTTCCCCTCAACCACATTCTGGTGTCAGGCCAGACCATGTTTCTCCAGCTCTGGAACTAAGCCAGTATAAGGCACCTCGAGGAGGAAGGCTGAGTGGGTCACTATCCTGCTCTGTTCCGGGACTGGACAACAGTACCAAATGACCAAGCAAGCTCAGCTCTATGGGGCCTCCTTCAGGAGACGAACACAGACATCGGGGAGCTGTAGGGAGAGAGATCATGAAATCAGGCTGTGCCCAGGTGGCTGTGGAGTCTGCATCAGCTCTGTCTATACTGCTGTCCCAGCTGAGTTAGCCTGGAATAAACTGCTCCCCCGGGCAGTCTGCATGTTAGTCACGAAGCAGAGGGCCTGCATACCATCCCCCAAGGGCATACCACAAATGAGCCACGTTTCAGCCCCAGCTTAGCAGGACACAGCGAGGCCTGGTGCATCCTTGGGCACCATCGATAGTAGCCACCACTGATGACCACCCCATCACCCTGCAGGGCCTTTTTGGATCCCTCCTTTTGGTGTTAGCTAATCTCTTTCAGGAAACAGAAAATAAAGGCAGGAATTAAAGTCCCTTAGGTGATGGCAGAATGCCAGAACAATGTGGGTACGAGGCAGTCAGAAGTCAGGACATGGGCTCCAGCAGATGCTCTAGCAGTCACCATCCAGGCTCTCAGGGAGCTGTCTACTGCTCCCTACCTCAGTAACTGCTGTTCTTTTTACTACTGCTACTACTGCTACTACTATGGCTTCTACCGCTACTACTACTACTACCACTACTACTACTCCTACTGCTACTGCTACTACTGCTACTCCTGCTACTACTCCTGCTACTACTGCTACTGCTACCGCTACTACTGCTACTGCTGCTGCTACTACCGCTACTACTACTGCTTCTACCGCTACTACTACCACCACTACTGCTACTGCTACTACTACGGCTTCTACTGCTACTACTACTGCTTCTACCGCTACTACTACTACTACCACTACTACTGCTACTGCTACCGCTACTACTGCTGCTACTGCTGCTACTGCTACTGCTACCGCTACTACTGCTACTACTACTACTACTACTACTGCTACTGCTACTGCTACTACTGTTACTGCTACTACCGCTACTACTACTGCTTCTGCTACTACTACTACTACCGCTACTACTGCTACCACTGCTACTACTACTACTGCTACCGCTACTACTACTGTTACTGCTACTGCTACTACTGCTACTGCCACTACTACTGCTACTACTACCACTACTACTACTACTACTATTAACGCTATTACTGCTACTGCTACTACTGCTACTACTACTGCTACTTGTTTTGAAATCATTATAGACTTACACAAAGTTGCAAAAATAGTAGTTCTCCTATATCCTTCACCTCACTTATCCTAATATTAACATCTTACCAAACTATAGTATAGTTATTAAAAGCAGGAGGTTAACATTGATACAGTACTAACTAATCTATAAACATTCAGATTTTGCCATTTTTCCCACTGATGTCCCTTTTCTGGTCCAGGGTCCAATCCAGGACCCCATGTTATGTTTTGTCATGTTTCCTTTGTCTCCTTCAGCCCTTGGCAGTTCCTCCATCTTTCTTTTCCTTTCATGACCTTGACACTTTTGAAATGTCCAGGTCAGTTATTTTATAGAATGTTCCTCAGTTTGGGTTTCTCTCCTGTTTTCATATGATTAGATTGAGGGTCTGCAGTTTTGGCAGAACTACCCCAGAAGTGATGATGTGCCCTTCTAGTGCCTTCTAGCAGGGGGTGATATTTAACTTGGATCATGTGACTGTGGTGGTACGTGTCAGGTTTGTCCACTGTAAAATTAATGATTTCCCCTTTGAAATTAATAAGAATCTTGTGGGGAGATACTTTGAAGCTGTGTAGATGTCTTATTTGTCCTTAAACTTTTGCCTATGAATTTTAGCATCCATCATTGGTTTTTGCTTATAAGTATTAATGCTGTGTTGGCCTAATGATGACTTTCTGTTTACTTATCTCATCTGTATTTATTAATTGGTATTTTGTAGGGAAGAGCTATCTCTTTTCTCCCATATATTTATTCAACAATTTATTTATATCAGTATAAACTAATGGATATTTGTCTTATTCTGTGGGTTATAATCTAATACTATGGTAGTTTATTCGTTGCTCATACTGGCCCAGATTTGGCCATTGGGACCACTTTCAGGTTGGCTTCTGTATTTTTTTGGCATTGCCCCCATCATTGTTTTAGCCCTTCCTTACTCTCTAGCGCCACAAGATGTTCCAAGCTCACTCATAATTTTCCTGTTCCAGCCCTGGCATCAGCTATTTTCCCAGATAGCTCCTGGTTCCTTGCACTCGAAAATAGGCACTAGGTGTATTCATTGCTACTGGAGTATCATTACTTCTAGGCCCTTTCAGCACACAGAGCTAGGAAGTAGGTGTATTCATGTTAACACACACATCTGAATTTATTACTCTATCTGTATGTGTATTATTAAAAATAGTGAGCTCACATTGATACCTGCAGTTCCAATCCAGTACCACGGGGTTTGTGGCTGTTGTTATGCTCTCCTGTTCTTTTTCTCTTCTTCTGCTATCTCCTTTTCTTCTCCTTTCACGCTGTTGGGTGTTCAGACCTCCCTTGAAGGCTCTAATGCAGTCAGTCAGTGACCATCCTATATGGAACATTCCAAGTAGATAAAGTTCTATGCCTGGTGATCAGTCTTTGGTTCAGTCAGCTGTGACCAGGAGCAGGAGGCATATGACTCAAGACCAGATAACTTTTGTATTAGAAGACCCAATGGCCACCTTCCTGAGAGGAGAGGAGATAGGGTAGACCCTCAGATTTTGAGGGACTTAAGTATCACTTCTACAGATTCTTAACTACACCTCCTAAGGGATGTCGGCCCCTATCTTATGCTTCCATAGCATCCTAGGCAACACTCAGCTCACTTGCATTACTTGTTCTGTGTCTGTCTTTGTTACCAGAAAGCACTGTAAGCACCCAGAGGGCAGATATCGGTTGTCCAGCTCACTGTCCTATTCACAGGACCTGACACAGTGCCAGCATATGACAGATACTCCAGGTATTCGGATGGTTGGGCGTGCCGTGCAGTGAGCACAGATCTTCACAGTGGGTCCCAGGACAGAACAGTGTCATTTATTTACTGAGCACACGTTTGTCATGTTCTTGTGGCCAGCCAGTAGGATCTGCCGGGATTGGACCCTGAGCAAATGGGGCAAAGCAAGACCCCGAACCTGTATTGAGTATCCTGGAATGCATGAGACAGGGCTTGAAAATGAAAATGTAACACCTTTATTATTCAAAAAGAAAACTCAAAGATGCGTGATGATTGTTTTAGAAATTTAGGAACCACCCAACTGGGTGGTTCAGTTGGTTAAGCATCTGATTTTGGCTCAGGTCATGATCTCAGGGTTGTGATATTGAGCCCTGTGTCAGGCTCCACGCTGGGGACGGAGCCTGCTTAAGATTCTCTCTGTCCCGGGCGCCTGGGTGGCTCAGTTGTTAAGCGTCTGCCGTCAGCTCAGGTCATGATCCTGGAGTCCTGGGATTGAGCCCCGCATCAGGCTCCCTGCTCGGCGGGAGGTCTGCTTCTCCCTCTCCCACTCCCCCTGCTTGTGTTCCCTCTCTCGCTGTGTCTCTCTCTGTCAAATGAATGGATAAAATCTTTAAAAAAAAAAAAAAGGATTCTCTCTGTCCCTCTGCCCTGCCCTGCCTCCCCGCAAAAATCCAAAAAGATTTAGGGGAAGAAAAACACATTTAAGCCATAAGAAAATAGAAAATAGACCAATAAAGATAAAACTTGAAGTTAAAAAAGGAAGGGGGAAAAAAGGAGAAAGGATAAGTAGAAAAATGACTCTTTGAAAACACCAGTAAAATAGATAAAACCTCAGCCTGATAAACAGAAAAAGAGGAAAAAAATGCAAGATTAGGAATGAGAAATCATGTAGATATGGAAAAATTTTAAATAATTTCAGGAGAATTCTGTGGCAACAAATTTGGAAACAGAGCAAATGGGTAATTTCCCAGCAGACACCCAAAACATACTTTGAATAGACCAATTAATTACCAAAGAAAAAATCGGAAAGGTGATTAAACGTTTATCCTTCTAAAAAATCATGTTCTTTTACTTAAACTTCTTTTATTGAAATATACATGGAAAAATATGCAAATCACAAGTATACAGTTCCACTGAATGGTCACAAGGTGAACACTACTTGTAGCCATCATATCCAGCCCAACAAATAGATGAGTTATAATTTTTAATTATTCTATAAGCTGCTTCAGATCTTGGGATAAGATGGAAAAATGCTCAGTTGAATTTTAAAGGCCAGCATAAGATTAATACTCAAACCTGATAGTCC